GCAATTAATGTTTCAGTATTTTAACTTACCTGGAAATGACTCACCCATCTCACGAATATATATTACTTAATATAACATGACTTTAAGACTTCAAGTTAATGAAAAAGAATTTTGAAACTATGACAAGTCCATTTATGGACATTTATCTTATTTACATTCATCTAATTTACTAGTTCTTAACACTCATGTTTGAATTGCTCACGGAAAACAAGGCTAGCCATCATCTTAAGTTATTTTTTCTTGTTCACAAATCAGGCAAGTATCAAAAATATCACAGAAGCAAAGAAACTAAAAAGCTAAACATGGTTCTTCCCTCTCTCTCCCTTTTTTTCCCCACAGCTGACATGGATCAAGACATCCATCAATTCATTTTTATTGTACATTTTGCTCTCAGGTTGGATTTATACTTTTGTGATCTTAAACATCTAACAGAGACAACACAAATCTGTCTGATCAGCAAACCCAGGCAAAGATGCATGTGTGGATTATATTCGTATTTAATGCTGACAACTCTGAAGACATTCCTATTTTTATTTTACCAACAATTTTAAAATTAGCTTATTTACCAAAGATAATCCAAGTCACGTGAACTAAATGGCAATTGGGTTAGTTTCTATTTTCCTGAGATAATAATTTATATAAACATGTGCTTATTTTTTCTTTAAGCCAGTTAAATATAGCCCTTATATTTTGGCAACATTATTCACAGGTAGAAAAATACCACATACACATAACATATATACATAGACATTCATAAACATACAGACAGCAGCAGATCTTACAGCTTTCATTAAGATTTTTCATTTGCCAGTTTCCAAATAGTTTCTCTCCCCCTTTCAGACTATCAATCTTTTAATTACCTGTTCTATTGGCCTAAGCAATGATTAGGTAGGCAACCCTAAATTTATACCTCCAAAGGAGTGACTCCTAGGTGGAAATTTTACATCTCAAAGGCACAGAGAAAGAATGCAAGTTTTTTTCTAAGAAAGAGCTTAGGCTGTGTTACTTATTATCAGAGGTCAATTTTACATAGGCTATAGACTAAATTTAGGTCTGAATATCTCCAAACCTCATCTGGGTAGACAAAACATCCATTTCTGCTAAAAGTGAATTTGATGCATTTTCCTCTAATTTGGTCTCGAAGTTTGTCGCTCAAGTGTGGCTACAAACTCTAAGCCTTCTAGCCACTCTCTAGAAGAGCCCTGATTTGGAGGAGAGTGAGGTCTGCGTGTGGTAGGTGAGACAGAGAATTCAAAATGGATGCTGAGGCCATAAGAGCCACATGAATTCACTACAAGATTTTACAAGGAAGTACACAGAGCCCAGGAGACAATTGAGAAGCCTGTTCAAAACCAGTTGAATGCCAGAAAGGTATATTTTGGAGACCAACTTAGTTACACAGGTGGCTTTTCATTTAGCGTCTGTTCCCTAACTGTATTACTGAGTTCGGGCTGGAGTCCGTTGACGAATAGGGTAAACAAAGCATTTTCTATGTCTGGACTTGGCATGGATAGCTCTGAAAAAGAAGCAAACCTGCTTGACCTGTGGGCCTAACTTTTACAACACTTTTTCCATCGCTTTTTGTTGTTGGGGTGGGGCAGTGCCGAAGCCAAAAGGTTGGCAGATTCAGTTTGTCCTATCAATTAGTCACTTGTCATTTACCTTTTCTAAAGAGTCTTTTTAAAAAGGCAATAAAAAATTTTTGGTCTCTTTTTAGAAGTTTCTACACATCAGTAGGCATCCCTAGGTGGGCGTAATTCAGGAGCCCTCATTTTTAAAGGCATTTCTCAAAGTCCAGTGTCATTTATCTGGAACATTCCACATAACAGCCATGATAATTTTAAATTATCTTCAGTAAGATTTTGCCATTTTGATAAGTGTTTGTGGCTTCTGGGGCCTAATACTTATACACATAAAAGGTAGGTGTAGCTGGAAGGTGGAGTACTCAGTTCTTTAGAAATTAAGGATCTCATTTTTACATTGAATCTTGGGTCTCTCAAAGGCAAGATAAAAGCCAACTGGGAAACAACACGGGGTTGGGTCGTGTAATGCTTTTCCATCGTACCTCACTGCACAGACATTTCCTTGAGGCTAGCAGGTGCTACCCTATTCTGTGTCTAGCTTATCCTAACATCGGAGGCTTATTTTTTGGTGGCCAGTGCTCCGATACCTCTTAAGTGTCTTAACTGTGCCCACCAGTCAAGTTGTGTCTTTGGCTCTGAGATCCTCTTGACCAAGTTAGCCAATGATTTTCTCCGACCTAAGTGCATGTAAAAAAAAGGAAGATGATAGAACTCAAATTCCTGTAAATTTCAAAAGCCAGAGTGAACACCCCTACAGTAATAACCATTTCCTGCAACCACTGACCTTTAAAACTGCAGCTCTTAAGCCAGCCGTGGTGGCAGCGCACCTATAGTCTCAGCTACTGGGGAGGCTGAGGCAGGAGGCTAGCTGGAGCCCAGGAGTTCAAGGCTGTAGTGCATGATGATCACACCTATGAACAGCCACCTGCACTCCAGCCTGGGCAACAGTGAGATTTGGTCTCTAAAAAAAAAAAAAACCCAAAAAACAGCCACCGTAAACCCCAAAAGGTCACGTGCTTTCTCACAGCACAAAGCCAAAAAGATCACGGGGGTACGATGTAAAAAGAGGAGAGTCCAACCAAAGAGGAACTTACTTACAACCCTTAGAGCCCCATGACACAGAATGGGGACTTCAAAAGGAGTCTGTGGTACCTTTTCCACATTTATTCCTCAAGCGGTCTCGGGGGTCATCAGCAGTGTCCTTCAGGTCCCTTTGTTGGTTGCCACAACTGTCAAAAGACAGAATAACAACAGATTCAAAGATCTTAATCAGCTTTTATTTGCAATTCTAGAACTGGCCAACACCTCATTCCATAAAGTAGAATGAATATTCTGATGAGTTGAGCAAAGGAGGTTGGCTTCACAGAAAGGGCTGAGAAAAGCAGAAGCAGAGAACAAAAGCAATTGGTCATCTCAAAGTTACTTTCCTCCTTTGTAAAGGTTAAAGCAGAGAGGACTTCCTTATCATGTCAGCTAAAACTAGCCTGTTGGGGATTTGGCTATCTCTCCCTCTCCTGATTGCTTGTAATGTCAGATAAAACAACTTAGTTTCAGCTTGGTGGCATGGACCTTTAGTACCAGTAATTCCATTTTGGTTTGGTTTCATTGGCCTAATGCAGAAGTGCAGCTGGAGCCAATGGCCTCCTATAATTTTATTTAACATGCCTGAATATAAACTACAAGGTTTTCAACAATCTGTTTAGGTTTCTATTCCATTCAGATTTATACATTATAGATGACGGCTGCTGCTATTAAGAAAATGAGAGCGAGAGTAAATATGGGCAAAATTGGAGCCAGCAGGGTGGCTCATGCTTGTAATCCCAGTTGTGGAGGAGGATTCTTGAGTCAAGGAGTTTAAGGCTGCATGATCCTTCCATTGCACTTCAACCTGGGCAACAGAGCTAGACCCTGCCTATGTAAAAAAAAAAAAAAAAAAAAAAAAGGGCAAAATCTCCAACATATCTACAAGTGGTCATTTATAGTGAGAATCTGTTACAAAGGTGAACCCATTTTCCCTCTTGAAAAGGTTTAAGAAAAAATAAATAAAATATTCTAAGATTCCTAAATTTTGCAGATGATTCTTTTCTTTGATACTCCAGGTTCATAGAGACAAGCCAATCAGACTTTTTTCTTGTTCTTTTTTTTTTGGAGGCAGAAAAAAGGTCTTTCTGGGAAATACTGAGCTTTTCTTTTTCCTTTTTTTTTTTCAGACAGGATCCTACTTTGTCACCCAGGACTAGAGTGCAGTGGAAAGATTATAGCTCACTGTAGCCTCAAACTCCTGGGCTCAATTGAGCCTCCTGCCTCAGCCTCCTGAGCAGCTAGGACTACATGAATGTACCACCATGCCCAGCTAATTTTTTATTTTTTGTAGAGATAGGGTCTTGCTATGTGGCCCAGGCTGGTCAAGGATCCTCTTACCTGAGCCTCCCAAAGTGCTGGAATTAGAGGAATGGGCCTCCACACCCAGCCTGAGTTTTCCTTATCTAAAACTCATTCAGGATGAACAAGTCAAACTTTAAATGTAATAATCTTAAATCCTTCAAAAACAACTTATCAGAATAAAGTTTTTTTTTTAAGTTCTTATCAGTTTAAAACGAACACTGAAAAGGTGATTGCCATGATCACCCTTTGCTTTAAAATATTCCAGCAAGGAAAATAAGGTCTGGGGGGTGGTGGTAGGGATAGATAAAATAATGTTGAAAAATGTTGATAATTTCTGAAGTTTGGGAAGTTTATTATACTTTCCTACATTTGAGATCTTCCACAATAAAAAGTTGTTTTTAAAAAAATACTTTTTCTATTTTTTACTCTCAGGACTCCCTTTTGCCTGTTTATCTTTGACAGGTTCTGGCCACAGGAGGAATACTGCACAGCCAGTCATTATTTTTTATTTATTTTTTGCAAATCGCTGCGTGTTCACTTGTGAATAGTCTCATTTGCGGAGACTTTATCTTTGTTGATATACATTATCGACATAATAATAAGCACCTATTTCATTTGAAAACAAGGTTAGTCTTCACTTATCTCAAGCGCGGGGGTATCAAATCTCCTCAGATATTATCCCGACATTTTATAACCAGGGTACCACAATTCCTTCCAGAAACGTCTCTCTCGCCCCTCAGGTCAGGCGTCTCGGAGGCGCAGCACAGGCCGACGGGAGACCTGCGCTCCAGGTCTCGGCCCTGCGCAGAACAGGAAGGCCCTCACCTCATCTCGAGCCTCAGTTTCCACCGCGTGGAAGCGCAGCGCGGCGCGTCGGGTCCGTCTCACCGGGGTCCCCGGGCCCCTCCCGAACGTGGGCCGCCCCGCCCCGAGGGCGGAGACCGGGCGGAGCCGCGCGCTCTCCTCCGCCTCCCGCAACTCGCCGCTGCCCCTGGCGTCGGCGGCGCATGTGCCCGCCGCCCCTCCCCGGCCCTGGATTCTACTTCCTCTTCGCTAGCGCTGCAGCCGCAGCCGCCGCCGGGCCCCGCGCCGCCTCCGGAGTCCATGGCCGGGACGCGCTGGGTACTCGGGGCGCTGCTCCGGGGCTGCGGCTGCAACTGCAGCAGCTGCCGGCGCACCGGCGCCGCCTGCCTGCCCTTCTACTCGGCCGCCGGCGCCTTCCCTTCCGGCGTTTCGGGCCGCCGCCGCCTGCTGCTGCTGCTCGGGGCGGCCGCGGCCGCCGCCTCCCAGACGCGGAGCTTCCAGACCGGGCCTGTGCCCCCCGGGAGGCTGGCGGGGCCTCCCCCTGCGGCCACTTCTGCCGCGGCTGCGGCCGCAGCCTCCTACCCTGCCCTGCGAGCCCCTCTGCTGCCGCAGTCGCTGGCGGCGGCCGCCGGCCCGGCGCGGGGCTACAGTCAGGTACGTGGGGGCCGCGCACGGGACCCTTCCAGGGCCGCGCGCACGCGCCCCTCCGCGTGCGCCTTGCGGGCGCGCCCGGGGATCCGCGGCACGCGCCGCACACCCGCCCCCGCTCGCCCTGGCCTCCTATTGGGCCCCGGAACAAGGGACGCTCTCCCAGGCCTCGGGTTTTCTCCTTGTTTTGTTCTCCCTTCTAGTCACTGGTCGGTGGGCAAGTGTGAGTGTGGCTGGGGTGAATGTTGAGGCCTTGTTTCCCGCCGGGCCCATGGTAGGTTTTGTGGGGCTGCTGACGCCCGCGCCCCGCATCCCTCTCGCTCCGCGCCCGCGGCTTGCGAAGTTGGGAGGCCGGACCCCGCGCGGGGTGGGAGTTTCGGTGAGGCGAGAGCGCTAGGCCCGGGCGGCCTCGGCGCCTCACGGCCCCGCCGATACGCAGGCTCACGCGCACAGCTGCGTGGGTGGCTTGCGGGGAAGGAGCGTCGTCCCCGGCGCGCTCCTCTCTGTCGTGTCCCTGGGGAAAGGCGGGCTGTCCCAGTTTACTGAAGGTCACCTCTGCTACTCCGCTTAATCTGACAGAGGTCCTTCACGACTGTCGGTCGCCGTCACCTGAGAGAACCGTGTGGAGACTGATATGGGGGAGGGAACGTGGGGAAAGCGGCGTTGAGGCCACAAGCGAGGCCCGGGAATGAATCTACATTGTTTTCCTTTCCTTTTTTTTTTCTTTCTTTTAAAAAAAAAGGCAGTGTGTGCTTTAAAAACCTGAGATTGCAAATGTTTTGTGTATGACGCTTTCTCTTCTGCCTGTTACGTGGCATCCGGAAAGTGCACACTTTGTGACTCCCCAGCCCCCGATGCCTTGGGTCGTTATTTATCTTAATTCAGTTTGCGCTTCTCCTTGAACTTATGGAAACGGGGAGGCTAATCAGCATGGCTGCTGTCTGCCAGGGGCTGAGCTAATTGATTTGAATCCTGGCCCAATACTTCTGCTGCCTTTTCTGTAAAAGCTTGTGATGCTTATGGAATTCTGGGAAAATGGAGAAAGTTGCCTTAAAAAAAAAAAAAAGCAAAACTATCTCTAGGAAGTGTTTGTGAGCTGGCTTCTCTCTCATTTTTTTTTCCTGTGAAGTTGGCTAAAGTCCTTGTTAGTATAGTGGTTAAAAAAAGAATAGTAAATTAAATTTTAAATGCTTAAGAAAATATAAATTAAAAATACAACCCGGAATGGACTAAAGTGATATAATCTGTTGAGTATTTACTGTGTGTTAGACACTATGCTTACATTTGTTGTTGACTCCTTAAAATTGAACACAAGTCATCTTGAAAATGATGGATGATGCAAAGGCATCTGTCCCTAGTCCAGTGGAGTGCAAGTGTTAAAGCCTGAGGTGTCTTCCTAGGTTAAGGTCGCAGTGCTTGTTAGAGTCTTTTTTAAATCCCAGTTTTTGCTTAGTCTTATAAAATGGAATTCTTTGGATATGTCTCTGGCTCTTGTCGCCTCAACCCTGCTGCTATTGCCTTTTCTGATCTTTCCCTTATTCAGTTGGTCTGCCATACCAGCTGACAGATTCATCTTTCCAAGGCGTCCTGCTGTCCTGTTGATTTACCCACTCCTCAGTGTCTTTTATTAACTTCCCTTTGCCTATCAAGTGAAGGACACACAGCATTGAGCCCAACAATCAAGGCCTTCTGCTATGTGGTACCGAGTTCCTTTTGCCAGCTCATCTTTGGCTCCTAAGTGTATTCTACAATTTAGACAAATGGGATTAATTGCTGTTTTTCAAGTGGGCCTTTGTTCATACTTCTTTCCCTCACTTTCAAACTGGAATGCCGTATCTTTGATATATCCCTGTCAGAATTCTGTCCTTCCTTTAAGGCCCATCTCATATCACGTACTGATTTTTCTGTTAGTACTCTGTTTTGAGTTCCTATAGTATTTTATATCTTAATTATAGCACTTAAAGCATCTTGTCTTGTATGCTTGTCTTATTCTAAATAGTACGCTTTGATACAGAGGCCTAATATGGTGCACTGTGTGTAGGGGGCAATCAAATATTTATCAAATTGAAGGGACCTTTCTTGTGCTGTCTTAAATAGACACTATTACTGGGTATAATTTAGGGCTGATGAATTTAAAAACAAGCCCTGAATAAAATTTATCTGACCAAATCATTAGTATATACCTGCTTACTGCTTTGGGATGTACACTTGAAGCCAAAACAGGGTGAGTTAGACTTGTGATGTTTACTTCTTGCCTTTGAAATAATGTTAACATCTAGAGTGTGTGTTTATAGTAATAAACATTTTCTAAGTAGGTTGTCAAAGAAATATTTTTATATTTGTTCATCTCTCTTGGAAGGACTCCAAAACTACCTATCTGGAAGACCTTCCACCACTCCCTGAGTACGAATTGGCCCCGTCCAAGTTAGGAGAGGAAGTGGATGATGTTTATCTCATTCGAGCTCAAGGATTGCCCTGGTC